TTGCGTAATAGATTTAGGTCTTTGATCCATTTTGAGTTTACTTTTGTATAAGGTGCAAGGTAGGGATCTTGTTTCAAACTTCTGCATGGGAGTTTCAATTTTAGCATCACTGTGTGTTGAAGAGACTGTTCTTTACCCAGGGATTGATTTTTAGATTCTTTGTCAAATATTAGTTTGTTGAAGATGCTTGGATTGATTTCTGGAGTTTCTATGCTGTTCCATTTGCCTACATGTCTATTTTTTATTTTTGCCAGTATCAAGCTATTTTGATTATAGCTGCTCTGTGGTATGTCTTGAAATCTGGTATTGTGTTGCCTCCAGCTTTGTTTTTGTTGTACAACATTGCTTTTGCCATCTTGAGTTTCTTATGTTTCCAAATGAATTCTAGCAACATTTTTTCTAGATCTGCAAGGCATGGCATTGGTATTTTGATTGGGATCACATTAAATCTGTAAATTATTTTTGGTAGCATGAGCATTTTGATCTTAATACCATGACAAATGAAAACATAGGTAAAGAAGCTTGAGGGAGAATTCCTTCAAGGGAAGAGTTGGCAACTTGGACAATGTAGACAATATTCAAAAAGAAAAAAGAAAACTTAACTGTGAGGCAGCAGGCAATTCCAAAAAATAATTTACTGAGGTCTCTACAAACTACAGTTTCTAGGCCAAATCCAGGTTCTGTTTCTATACAGTCGTTTCACTAAGAATGGTTTTCACCTTGCTACATGTTTGAAAAATTTAAAAGCATATTTTATGTGACAATGGACAAAGTAACAATTTTGTTATTGATAAAGTTTTATTGGAATTCTGCTATGATGTCATTTGCTGATTTGTCTATGACCATTTGTATGGCACAGTGGCAGAATTGAGCAGTTGACACAGACACCATATGACATGTAGTATATGCAACATTTATTATCTAGTCCTTCGCAGAATGTTGCTATCTTCTCATTTAGAACATTTCTTCAAGCTAATTTATCCAGTTGACTAAACCATTGTTATTGAATATTGCTCTGGAATTTCAAGTCTGAATAAACCCATAGGCACTTTGTAATTCCAGATATTTACATTAGATTTTTTTCTTTTTTTTTCTTTTTTTTTTAACTTTTATTTAATGAATATAAATTTCCAAAGTACAGCTTATGGATTACAATGACTTCTCCCCCATAACATCCCTACCACCCGCAACCCTCCCCTTTCCCAATCCCTCTCCCCTTCCATTCACATCAAGATTCATTTTCGATTCTCTTTATATACAGAAGATCAGTTTAGCATACATTAAGTAAAGATTTCAATAGTTTGCTACCACACAGAAACATAAAGTGAAAAATACTGTTTGAGTACTAGTTTTAAATACTGTTTGAGTACTAGCATTAAATCTCAATGTACAGCACACTAAGGACAGAGATCCTACATGAGGAGTAAGTGCACAGTGACTCCTGTTGTTGACTTAACAAATTGACACTCTTGTTTATGGCGTCAGTAATCACCCTAGGCTCTTGTCATGAGTTTCCAAGGCTATGGAAGCCCCCTGAGTTCACTGACTCTGATCATATTTAGACAAGGCCATGGTCAAAGTGGAAGTTCTGTCCTCCCTTCAGAGAAAGGTACCTCCTTCTTGGATGACCTGTTCTTTCCACTGGGATCTCACTTGCGGAGATCTTTCATTTAGGGTTTTTTTTTTTTTTTTGGTTTTTTTTTTGTTTGTTTGTTTTTTTCCAGGGTGTCTTGGCTTTCCATGCCTGAAATACTCTCATGGACTCTTCAGCCAGATGTGAATGCCTTAAGGGCTGATTCCGAGGCCAGAGTGCTGTTTAGGACATCTGCCATTCTATGGGTCTGCTGTGTATCTCACTTCCCATGTTGGATCGTTCTCTCCCTTTTTGATTCTATCAGCTAGTATTTGCAGACACTATTCTTGTTTCTGTGATCCCTTTGGTTCTTAGTCCTATCATCATGACCAATTGTGAACAGAAATTGATCACTGGGACTAGTGAGATGGCATTGGTACATGCCACCTTGATGGGATTGAATTGGAATCCCCTGGTATGTTTCTAACTCTACCGTTTGAGGTAAGTCAGCTTGAGCATGTCCCGAATTGCACATCTCTTCCCTCTCTTATTCCCATTCTTATATTTAACAGCGATCACTTTTCAGTTAAGTTTCAGCACTTAAGAATAATTGTGTATTGATTATAGTATTCAACCAAAAGTATTAAGTAGAACAAACAAAAAAAATACTAAGAGGGATAACATATTAGATTTTTTTCTTAACAGTAACACAAGGTACATACGAATAATGAGTCATAAAAGCAGTTACCTTATTCTATTTGTTACTTTAAAAATTTTAACTTCTTGTTTTATGATAATTGGAGACTTATGTATAGTTGTAAGAGATAATACAGAGAGATACCAAGTATTCTTTATCTGGTTTCTCTGTAGGTAACATCTTAGAGACTAACCAAGATATTATCATTAGTAAGTGAAGACACAGAAATGTATCTGTCAAAGTAAGGGACCCTCAAGTTGCCATTTTAAAGCTATGCTACTTTCTTCCCACTGCTATCCCTTCCTTAACTCCCTTAGCCTTTTATCTATTGTCCATTTCTGAAATGTTTTCATTTCAAAAATGTTCAAGTGGAATTACACAGAATGCAACTTATGGGGAGTGATTTCCTTTCACACGGTATAATTCTCTTGATTTTTCCAGGTTGTTTAATGTATTAATAGCTTGTCCCTTGTTACTGCTAAGTAGTGTCCCATGGTATGGATGTACTGCAATTTACTAAAGCATTTATCAATAGAAGAACACTTGGGTTATTTCCAGTTTGGGGTATTGTGAATAAAGTTTCTATAAGCATTTACATACAGATTTTTGTGAGAACATAAACTTTCATGTTTTTGCAATAAATAGTTGAGTGAGATTGTTGAATCACGTGGTGTTTATTTCATTTTTAAATGATTCTGCAAAGTATTTTTAGAGTGGTTTCACCATTTTACATTCCTTCAGAAACATATGAGTGATCCAGTCTCTTCATTCTTGGTGTTGTCCCTAATTTTTATTTTATTTTATTTTGGTCCTTTTATGATATCTCATTGTAGTTTTAATGTGCATTCCCCTGATGGCTAATGATGTTCAACACTCTTTAATGTACTTGTTTGCCACCTGCACATCCTCTTGGATGAAATATCTCTTCATATCTTTTACCATTTTCCTTTTAGATTGTTTGATTTTTTACTTAGTTGCGATCTATCTTTTCTAAATAGTGGCACTTGTCAGATATCAGGCTTGAAAATATTTTCTTCCAATGAGTAGCTTTGTAGTAACCTGTCAACAGTGTCTTTTATGGAGCAAATGTGTTTAATTTCAAAGGAGCAACTTACCAGTTTTTCTTTATGGATTTTTGATATTGGTGTCGGTTCTAGGAACTCTTTGCCTGAGCTCAGATTTGCAAGAGATTGGGCTATCGTTTTCTCATTTTGCACTGTCTTGTAGGTTTTGGGTATCAGGTGATATTGATTTCTTGAAATAATTTGGGTTGTAGTCCTTCCCTTTCTACTTTATCAAAATTATTGTATAGCTTTTGTGTTAATTCTTCCTTAAGCATTTGTTAGCGTCATCCAGTGAAGTCATCTGGGCCTAAAGATTTCTTTTTAGGACATTGTTATAGTTATAGTGCTAGCAAATGACCTAACTCATATTGGGTGAGTCGTGGTAATTTGTGCTCTTGAGAACTGGATGTTTCATGAAAGTTGTTCAATTAGTGTGTTAGTGTGGTTAGTAGTTTTTCCTTACTGTCTTTTTATTTCTGCAGGGTCTTGCAGTGTTGCCCCTGTTTCACTTCTGGTATTGATACCTTGAGTTGTTTTTCTTTTTTATTTGTCAGTCTTACCGGAGACAATGTTTTCAATGATTCAAATCAGTTTATCTGGTTTTCTGTTTTCAGTTTATTTCCATTTTTATTCTTTCCTGTCTTCTCCAGATTTATTTTGCTCTTCCTGTTCTTATTTATTGAGCTTGAAGCTTTGTTATAAATTTGAAATTTTCTCTTTTCACATGTATGCCTATAATGCTATCAGTTTTCCTCGAAATGATGCTGTAGATGTAACCCATAAATTTTCATGTACTGTATTTTCTTTGTCATTTCTCTCCAATGTGTTATTTTTTACTTGAGACTTCCTCTATGACCCATAGATTATTTAGAAGTTTCTTAATTAGTTTCTAAGAACTTGGAGATTTTCTGTTACCTGTTATTGATTTCTATTTAGATTCTGTGTGGCTGAAAACACCTTTGTATGCTTTCAGTTGTTTTCAATTTATTGATTTTGCTTTATGTACTAAGATGTACTCTATCTTAGAATATGTTTTTGACACTGGAAAAGAACATGCATTCTACTGTTGCTGGGTGGTATGTTTTATAAATGTCAACTAGACTCCATTAGTTGGTAATCTGTTGAGTTCTGTAATCTTACTTAATTTTTATTGTCTTTCTATCAAATATTAAGAGAGGTACTTGAAATATGCAGCTATAATTGTAGACTTATCTGTTTTTCTTTCCTGCTTTGCTAGTTTTTGTTCTACTTATTTTTCAGCTCTTTCATTTGGTACATACACATTCAGTATTGTTTTCTTTTGCTGATAATTTTCATTCTTTTAAAGCCTATTATATGGCATTAATAAAATAATTTTTGATTTCTATTGATTAATATATACATTTATATACTTTTTTTAACTTTTATTTAATGAATATATATTTCCAAAGTACAATTTATGGATTACAATGGCTTCCCCCCCATACCATCCCTCCCACCCACAACCCTCCCCTTTCCTACTCCCTCTCCCCTTCCATTCACATCAAGATTCATTTTCGATTATCTTAATATACAGAAGATCAGCTTAGTATACATTAAGTAAGGATTTCACAGTTTGCTCCCACACAGAAACATAAGTGGAAAAAATAATAGATGATTTTTTTAAAATGATGATGAAATCAGATCAGACCTATTGTCATGTTTAATCCCAGTGAGAGTCAAGTTGGGAGTTGATAATTTCTTTTTTTTCTTTTTTTTTTTTTACAGAGGATCAGTTTAGTATGCATTAAGTAAAGATTTCAACAGTTTGCACCCACATAGAAACACAAAGTGAAATATATTGTTTGAGTACTCGTTATAGCATTAAATCTCAATGCACAGCACATTAAGGACAGAGATCCTACATGAGGAGTAAGTGCACAGTGACTCCTGTTGTTGACTTTACCAATTGACACTCCTGTCTATGGCATCAGTAATCTCCCTATGTTCCAGTCATGAGTTTCCAAGGCTATGGAAGCCCTCTGAGTTCTCTGATTCTTATATACTTTTACTCTCAATCTGTGTTATACCTGAATTGAGTTTATTGAAGACAGCATAAAATCTGACTGTTTTTTGATCCAATGAAAATCTCTGTCATTTGGTTGTGTATTTAGGCAATTTATATTTAACTCAATCATTTATGTTTATAGTTTTGGTCTCATATTTTGCTCTATGTTTGCTATTTATTTTCTCTATTTTTCATTTCTCTACCTTCCTATTTTGTCTTCTTTAGGATTACATGAAAATTTTTGGAATTTTGATTTATTATTTATTATTATGGAATTTTGATATATTTCTTTGTGCAGTTTGTTAGTAGTTACGTTATGTATTATATTAAATTTACACAATGTCTATCTACAGATATCTTCATTTTTATAACTTCAAATGAAGTATAAGAACTTTATCTCTCTTACCATGCCATGTTTAATTTATAATTGTCATTAATATTAAATATTTATTTCAACCATATTCATAATTTCTTGTTGAAGTAGTTTCCTGATGGCTGCTTTAAAATTCTGTGAGATTTTTTTTTAATATCTCAGGCATCTTGGTGTCTTTATGTATTGTCAGTCTTTTTTAAAAATTCATTTTAAGTTCTTTCTGCTTCTTGGCATAACAAATGATTTTTAATTAAATTCTGGACATTTTGTGGGGACAGCATTAGCATGGTAGGTTAAGCTGGCTTATGGTGCCAGCATCCCAATCAGAATGCCCCTTTGGCCGGTGCTGTGGCTCAATAGGCTAATCCTCCACCTTGCGGCGCCGGCACACCAGGTTCTAGTCCCGGTTGGGGCACTGGATTCTGTCCCGGTTGCCCCTCTTCCAGGCCAGCTCTCTGCTGTGGCCCGGGAGTGCAGTGGAGGATGGCCCAGGTGCTTGGGCCCTGCACCCCATGGGAGACCAGGAGAAGTACCTGGCTCCTGCCATCGGATCAGCGCGGTGCGCCGGCCGCAGCGCCAACCATGGCGGCCATTGGAGGGTGAACCAACGGCAAAGGAAGACTCTTCTCTCTGTTTCTCTCTCTCACTGTCCACTCTGCCTGTCCAAAAAAAAAAAAAAAAAAAAAAAAAGAATGCCCCTTTGAGTACCAGCTGCTCCACATATGATTCTGTTTCCTGCTAATGCTCATGGGAAGGCCGCAGAAGATGGCCAAAATGCTTGGGCCCCTGACATCCATGTGCATGACTTGGATGGACTTCTTGGCTCCTAGCTTTGGCCTGGCCCAGCCCTGATCATTGCAGTCATTTGGAGAGTGAATCAGTGGATGATCACTGTCTCTCCTTCTGTTGTTCTACCTTCCAGGTAAATAAATAAATCTTTAAAAAGAAAACCTAGTCATTTTTATATATTATGTATGAGAGCCTTTTTCTGATTTAAATCTTTTGATTTCGTTTGCTTCCTCTTACACCACTCCATCAAGGGAATGGGGATGATGTGCTGCTGTGTCACTACGAGATGTGGGTAACAGGCCAGGTATCCCTGTTTGGCCACCATTGACATCCGAAGTGGGAGGGTCCCTTGTTACTGCTAGATGAGGGTGACAGATCTTGTTCCTGAGTAATTCTCCACGGATACATATCTGGCTAGGAGTGGTTCATCACTTCCTGGATAAAAGCAGTCTGTTACTTCTTCTGGTACAGCCTCCACCAGTCTTCAGTGTTGAAAGATAAAATTTGTAATGTCCTGACTCTCCAGTAAATCCCCTTTATCACATCTCAGTGGGAAAGTGGAGGGTTTCCTCACTGTTGGGTTGAAGGTAAAAGCCGAGGCTCCCCATGTAAACTCAATCGACACTGCATGGAAGGAAAGAGAACTTGTTACTGACTCACATCCAACGAGGATGAAAGTCCCAGATCTCTACCTGAACATCTTTTCTGCCACTCCTAGAGTCGGAAGGAGAAGGCTTTGGGAGGCCTTGTTCGAACCTGGCAAATCTTGGCGCCTAGGCGCTCCACATGAACTTGCAGGAGTTCTTTCCATGGTGTTAAAGTGGAGCAAAATGAGATTATTCTAGCACTCACTGTCTTTCTTGGCTGCCCCTCATTTCATCTTTGGCAAGAGAGAACATGGTTTTCTTGTAGTTGCTTCTTTTAAAACCAATTGGCATTTCTGAGATACAGCCGTCTTCAGCTCCAAATGGTGACAATATAGAGCAAAAAGAAAATCCAAGAAACTCATGCCATGACATGGCTTGGATCCTGCAGTCTCTAGCTAGTTTGTCATCTTCTCTCCATCTTTCAGAGTCTCTTTATGGTTGTTTTAGTGTATAATATCCAGGGATTTTAATTGTACCTAGCATTCTTTCTTCCAGGAAACCTGAGTCTCTTGTTTCTTTCTTTTTTCCTATCTATTTATATTTTTAGTTGGGAGGGCAACATACAATTTTCAAATTAGGTTCCTTAAAGAAGTTAAAACAGAATCTTGAAAAAACTACTTAATGAATTTTGTATTTCAAAAGGAAAGTTTTAGAGGATGCATCTCCATCTGTAATTTATTTTTAAAAATCCACTTCGCTTCCACTTTCCAATTTGCAGCAATTTTGTCCTTGACAAACTTGTCTCTAATACATGTTCTTTTAAAACCTGCAACCCTCTGGGAGTCATGTCCGTTTGGTTCATTGTCGTTCCCGTGTCTAACCCAAGACCCACCACTCACCGGTTTGTACTCAGTAAGCATCTGCTGAAGAAGTGAGTGGGAACTGGAAATTTAAATTTTACTCTTTTAGGTCAGTTATCTATTTTCCGCACACAGCGGAGGTGTATCTCCATGTTGATTCTCCACCAAGCACCCTTTAAGTGTTTGCTGGGACAATAGCAAAATTTCTCCATAATTTTGCAAAAAAAAAAAAAAAGAACAATTTTAATTTCAGCACATGTGTAGGTTTTTCTTTATAGTTTAGAAGTATGTGTATTTTAAATTACAAATGGGAAGAACACCATAACAGTTCCCAGATGTGTGTGTATGCACATGAAGATTCAAGCCAACTGCTTTTGAAGACAGTGACCTGAGGACCCCCAAAAAGACCATAAACTATTTTTAGGATATGCTTCTTAAATCTATAACTCTTTCCTTTTATTAGGAAATCATAGTTTATCATTTTAAATCTTTACTGTATATTGTGCCATGAACACTTACGTACCTTGAGGAGGGATGTTGTTAATCTGTCCTTTTGATAAGGCACTGCATATAATTTTTAATTTCTTACGAAGATAATTCTACTTTAAATAAGGATTCTCCAATCATTGCAGTGTGCTTTTTTTATTAATGGAGTTGGAAAACATGGTTCTTTTTACCACTACTCAGTATGTTTGGCTTAAATACTAACAATGCCTGCTTTCCTGCTTGGCTTCAGATTCAACTTAAGGAAATTGTGAAAGATTTAATTTACTCCACTTTTGTTAGAAAGTATGGAAATGTTTGTACATGGGAACTTTCATTGCATGCTAGAATGGAAATTCAATGGGGAGGGGGACCCATTTCATTTATTGCCTAAGAGCTGTTGATATACTCCCTGCATCTTTCAAAGGCATCTTTCTTGCCACACAGGCAAAATGTAGCCTGCAAACGAACAGAAAGAGCACTTCTCACATGTGTCAATCTCAGCAAACTTACACAGCAGCTGTGTTAGGTACTGGTGAAGATTACCCCAGGACCGAGTTGCAGGGTTTTGTGTATTTGAAGGGACAACTGACTCTCCCAGGGGACCACTTTGTTGGAGATTACAGCAATAATGCATCCCCACTGTTGCTAGTGGATATTGTGTAGTGCAAAATTGGTGCTGGATAAAATCAGAAAGTAATAAAAAGCAAAGAGGAAACTCTGAGATTTTTGAATCTTAAAGTGAGAAACCAAAGCAAATGTCTGGAGCTTGTTGTATTCATTTGTAGAAAAAAAAAAAAAAATCCGGGGAAGGGATGCCTTTAATGCAGAAAACTTGCAGGGCGTTCAGTCTTTTCATTTTAGAACCATTTGGGTGTGTTGAAAAATAAAGTTGCAGTGTAGGCATGTTCAGACCTTTATTTGCTACATTTGGTAGCAAAGATTTTTTTTCCCCCCTCTGTACTCTAAGAAGCCAGAGTTTTCTGTGCAAACGAAACAGGCGTTGCAAGAATCAGATTCACTTTGGACGACTCTTCACATTCCAAGTCATCATTGCATTAGGCAGCACAATTCCATCTCTGGTTGATGGGCAGAAAAAGTGGGCAGCTTGCCAGGTAGACGTTTCCATGACTCCCAGCCCCCAAAGGTGATGCGTTTTTCAGCTAATTCAATGAAGAGTGGGCTGAACTTTGGGTCTAAACGAGACAATAGCTGCCTTCGCAGTATCAGCAGAATGGTTGATGGGAATGCACTCTACATTTGGCAGAGAATCATGTGACCTTACGGCTGAGATTTTGTGATGGTGCCAACGGAGACTTGGAAAGCAGCAACCGTCCTGACTTTTTTCTTCTTTTCTAGCATGGCTCAGAAAATGGTGGATCTTAATACTTGACTCTAGCCAGACTCAGCAAGCAACTGAGCTTTGAAGCACAACTTCGCCTTTATTCTGGGTTTTTGGCAGGCCACCAGGAGGCTGTCCCTTTCACGCCTGATAAATTCTGCTGCTTATCTCTAAAGAGAGAGAGAGTGAGAGAAAGAGAGAGAGAGAGGGAGGAAAATAATAACAGAATATTGAGGCATAACAAGCAAATCCTAAAAATTTGTATGTGCTTTTTGTTTTTGCCTCTTCTGACTGCTGATTTTTTTAAATGTTAATAGCCTGTCTGCTTGCTGCAGAGTCCAAGTAGTTGGGTTATGTATGTATATATGTATGTATGTATTTTTGGGTTTAGAATGAACAGGCATTTGAACTGGGCGAACAAGACGACAGCAGCAGTGAGCGTGAGATCATTGCAGCAATGTAGCAAACTGGCACCCTGCCTTTTCACCCCTTTGGTTCAGGAGACCAACGTGTGCAATCCTCATTTCTAAAGTCAGCACAGCCTGGAAGGATTCCTGGTCTCTTCCCACCTTCTACCCTTCTGCTGCCAGTGACGGCAAGGATTGGTGCAGCTTCTGCGCAGTGCTTTGTGCCTGGAATACGGAAAAGGAAGAAAAAGAAGACAAGCACCCTGGTCCTTTTTTTCTAAGAAATAACAGGAGCCCTGAAGAAAAAAATCTGAGTTTGTCCTACTACTTGCAAGAGTGCTGAAAAAAAAAAAAAAAATGAGACGCTCCTGCTCCAAAACAAAAACAAAACAAACAAACAAAAATCCAAACCAAAACAAACTTTAAAAAGGCAAACATTGGCTGTCTAACTACAGAGACATCGGCTTTGTAAAGCAGCTTTGCAAGGCAGCATAACCAAATGAGCCTTCTTTATTTTTATTATTTCCAAACTATGGCATAATTAGCAATGTATTGCACTTGGTGAAATCGCACCTTTCATATCAGGTATAACTTTTTGTTGTTGTTTCTTTTTAAGCCTTCTCTTATATACAGGGGATCCTTGAACTTTCAATTTACTCTTATTTAACACACCACCCACTTTGCTCTTTTTAACGTTTTCCTTTTTCTCTCTGGTCTAATCTTGATTAGAATAGAAACTGAAGTAAAATAGATAAATCTCTATGCAAAAAGACAGTATATGTTTTTGTTTTTGTTGTAACCAGAGGTTTTGCAAAGACACTGATGTTGCTATTTGTGCTTTCTGTGTCCAGGATTGGTTTTTGCTAAGAAAAATGAGTGTTTAGACCTAATTGGTAGAAAAAGCAAATCTTTCATCTTACTCGTAATTTGAAATTTTAAATAAGAAACTTTCTGAACTTCTAAAAAATGCTCATACTAATATATGAATTAGATGAATGAAAATAAAATTAGTTTTGGGGAAGTGATATTTAAATTATTTACAAGGATTTCAATCAAACAGAAATAGGGATGAAATGAACATGTTCTCAATTGCTAAGTAGAAAAGAAGGTTCTTCCACAATAATAGTCTCTTTCAACAACATTTGAAAAGAAATATTTGTCCTAGAGCAGTTGTAAAAAGCATTGGAAATATCTATTACGTATTTTAGTAGAGAAAGTACGTACAAACTTGTTTTAAGTTCAAAGCAGTGCATTGGCTCCGCAAATAAACGCATTGCATTCTAATTATTTTGCCTGTTTGTAGAAGTAAATTGCTAAGCAATTTAAACATTTTGCAATAAAACCCATTTTTGCCTTGTTCAATGTGAGTGTGTTAGTAGATGCATTCCACCTATTTTAATTTTGATAAAAATGTTTATAAACATGTCAAATTTTAAAAGGCAGGAAATGCTTTTGAAATAGAAAGCTTATATCAATGAAGATATTGATCTGTATATTAACTGATGATAAATTTCCCGTTTAAAAAAACTTTGGTTAAACTATTGTACTTTAAATCATATTTTATTATGTTAAAAATATGGAGGTAAACAAAGAGTAATATAGAACTGATGAATTCTGCCTTCCCTGTTGTTATTCTATGAAGAATTATGGGAAACTACAAAAATCCTCAATATTGGTATCATTCAAATGGAATATTTTATCAGTTACATTGATTATAGTACACTAATTATTTACAAAATAGCTCTTGCTTCTGCATACTGCCTCAGCTAATGGAACTTCAACTTTCACGGGCTTAATTAATATTAATAAACTTGTTTTTATATTTCAAGATCCTTGAGTTAAAAAAACATTATTTTAAATGTTATTTTTAGAAGCCATTAATCTCTACACTCTTAATTATCTTATTAAGCTCCATGCCAAATCCAAATCTCTTTTCGGCTTTCACTACTTCATTGTGCAAAAACCTAGTCGCTTCTGTAACAGCTATCCCCCTTTCACTTTCAAAACTGTTACTGTGAAAACAACACCGACCAAAATGAAGGCATAAATGCAAACTCTGAAACCACATTATATGTCATATGAGTAGCCTTGGGTGGGGCCCTATGAGTCTTCCATGCCATTTTTTTTTTTAATACTTTAAAAGGTTTTGCCCATTCTGATACTGTGTTTTCTTCTCGATCCACTACCTTCGTTCCCACCATCTTCTCAGATGCTTCTTCTAGACAGCACTTGTCTGATATTTCTCCTTTTGTGGTTGTTTTAGGCAAACTTAAAATGAATATGAGAAGGGAAGAAAGTGATCATAGGAGAAAATCATCTCAGGTAAAACTAAAAAACAAAATAACAATTCATAGTTAATATTTTTAAACAGAAAATTCTTGAGTGTGTTTGATTAAAGGAATTCATTTCGTTTGCTTTTTTAATCTGTTGGAATTTTCATTGATGGTGTTCTTTTGAGAATTCGTAGTATGATCTGCTTTTGTGAAAAAATCTTGCCCAAATTTGTGACCAATGTACGATTTGTGTCCCTTTTAATATATATCTGTATATCCATATATATTACATAGATACAATACATTTGAACAGAAAGCTGTTGAAGAAAAAGAAAAGTTATATTTTTTCATTTGTGTTATCATATAAAAGTAAGTAAAATCTGGGGGAAGAGAATAAAATCATGCTTTTTAATCTTTTTTCATGATATGTTAAGATCAACACATACATTCTTTAGAAAGTTAGGATAAAACTTTAACATCCATGTTGCTTTTAGTTCACATCTAATTTATAGATATATGCTGAAATATTTTTACTGCAATTAAATGCGTGACTGTTGATTATTTACTATAGTTTTAATAGGTTTGGAAGCAACTGGAAAATAAGTAATAGGAAAAACTTCACGTACACTGAATTATCTGTATAAAGTCTAAGCACACATTGTATTCTATCACAAAACGTGGCAAATCACTAGTTAGTACGTATTATTATTATTTTTCACAACGAAGATATAATTGAGAACTGCTGAATGGTTGTAGATATGAGTGAAATGAATAATGATTGTCCAACTTAACAATTTTGTTGCCATTGAGCTTAGAATACTTAAGTGTGTGTAGCTGGCTTTATATTTGTATTTACTCATCTTTGTGTTTGTTTTCGAGCATTTTAAAAAAAATTTTGCCAATTTATTTTTGCTCTACTTGTTGAAAAAATACATGTTTATAGGGATATATTTTAAGTATTTTTTGAAAAAATACTTTAAATTTATTTGTTCAGACAAGATATTCGTTTTGATAAAACACATCTGGAATATGAATGTTAGCGCGGAATAGTAGTAACGATGCTGTTAATGTGTTATTGATTTTAGTTTGATATTAATTTACCAGAATATTGTAAATTTTGGTATCATTCCAGTTGTAGGCACATATGTGTATATTTCAGACTTATAATAATTCCCTATTTTCTCTACCTAGTGAAGAAGGTGTTGTTTGTTTTATGAAAAAAAGTTATAATGTTACCAATTCCTTTCAATCACTAAGGTTTTATAAGAACTAAAACAAGCACAGTCTAACTCATACACAAGTGACTTAATAGTTAATTTGGCTTTAATTATAGGCTCATAGTACTATATTCATGCCTCACAATTACATAATTTATATGTTCATATGTGGATTCTTTTTTCTTTTAAAACTCATTGTTAGAATAGTTTAGTGTAAAATATTCACTATTAAAATAAAAACAACCTGTTAGGAATATTTTTTTAAAAATACTCAGGTATATAAAACTATATTTAGTTAAAAATATTTATACAGGACTTTAATCGGGAATATGTGTCCTTAGATTTTAGCATTTAAAACATAAATACTAAAGGATCAATATTATTATTTTTGTTTCTTGGTTGCGTTAGACACTTACAACAAATTCGACATTAATAGGGAGCCTATGCGAGATGTTGCCCATTGGCATAAACCCGTAGATCCGATCTTGTGGTGAAGTGGACCGCACAAGCTCGCTTCTATGGGTCTGTGTCAGTGTGGTAATCTGACAAAATACAATACACAATGCTGCTCAATAAAATTTCAATAAATTCGTGTGCAACTCCAGTTGATTTACTCTTGAAGCAATTCTATTTTCTTTTGCTTTTCATGTATATGTTAATCCTCCTCTGTCCTATGAGGCAAGCATTAATTGTCAACCACTTGGAAGCATTTATAGCACAGCCATTTGTTTGATTCCAAGTGCAGTAAATTGCTTAAGAAAGTTGAATTTCTTTGTAGTAGGGATTGAACCAAGATCTGAATAGATCCTGTTCAAAAACTTCAGTGCATACTGTAGGGGTTAGTATAACTCATAAATTTCAATTAAGAAAATTAAAGACTATAACTAGATGTATATGTTTCCATTGGGCCAATTTTCCTAAAAGCTGAGACTGAAGGCTATTGAGTTTTAGTACTATTAATTTCCAGTAGAAAACAATGGCAGGAGATTTGTCAAAAAACATTCCATGTAACTTTGGTAGAAATCCAAAGGGATAGAATCATCATACAAGACATATTTTAAGTTTATCGGTAAAATGTTAGACTATTACATCTACAACCTTGAAAAGCCCTTAGGTGTATGGCTGCCATATTTGGAGGAGTTGACTGAAGATATGATAAGGAGTTTGAAGCCACATGCGAAGCTGTGTGCATCCGGGTTGAGGTAGTAGGTTGTATGGTTTAGAGTTACACCCTGGGAGTTAACTGTACAACCTTCTAGCTTTCCTTGGAGCATACTTGAGCCATCGAGGAATTCTTCATCACTTTGATCTGATTGAGCCAATTTCTGTTCAGGAAAGTAATGTGTCATGAGTATTTTGGATAAATGATTTGAGCCTCTCTTACAGGCAGGTAAATAAGCACTTCAGCCTTAACTATTAGATTATTGCATTTTGCATCTACTAATGAATAATACCAAAATGGTATTTCTAATGAATAACTAACTACTCAATGTTCAAAAATTTTAAGAAGTGGAAGGTAGTGACTTAAATAAAATTAATATTGGAGCCATCTGTAGATTTACAAAACTCATTTAATTTTTCAAACCAATAATTGTTCTATTTTCATTGGCTACTTAGACACTATAATAAAAATAGTTGCCACTGTTAATAATTCTCATAGCACACATTATCTGAGTTTTTCTTATGACACATCACTTTCTACTTTGTTATGTCTATTTACATGCTTATTTATTTATTCCATATTAGACTGTAAGCCCCTTGAGGGCCAAGTCTGTGTCTTATTTTTCATTGTATTTCTTGCAATGCCTTCCCATAATAAGCACTAAATATTTATTGGATGAATAAATGGAAATCTGTTGCATATTTGAAAGAAATACAAAGTAGTGCAATTCTAAGTTTTGTTCATTTGTTCTAAGCTATATACATTTAATTCACTGGCTACTCTGCATCAGTTTTGTATGTATGATGATTTTTTTTTACTGCATTGAGTGTGTATGCTTGTCCTAGACATGCAAGTTAAAACTTAAGAATTTCTTTTTTCTGTAGGAAAATAAGGATAAGGCAAATTTATTTTTATTAGTAACTTTAGTACAGTTTATAGTCCTAAATTTAGATAGTGTATATTTCTGTTGACTTTTAAAATATCTTTATTTCCAGATGAATTATTTTTATTTTAGCATTAATTTCTATTAAATATTATCATTTAAGTCTCATTTAATATGATTTTTTAAAATCAAATTTTTGCATTTTGTGTATTTCTCTTATCTTCTACCCTTTATCTTTGTACAGCTGTATCTTTTGAATAAACCAGAAACAACTAAGTTAGAAGCATGTTAAGAAATTAATAATAAATAAGTTTGCTATGTATAATTTGAGGATTGAAACACAATTTTGTTTAAAGGAGAGGCACTGTACAGTATTTTTATGTTAAAGAGAAAATAGGTGTCTTGGAATCTATTAGTTTGCTGTCAACTTTAGCATCAGTGGTGTCATTTGTGTAGTAATTCTATCTTAAAGTTCATCTTTCACTCACAGGATTAAATGATAGTTGACATTAGATGTTAATTTAAAACTCCAAACCCAAAACATAATACACTTAGGCAATGATTTTTAGGCACAAATATATATTACAAACAAGTTTCTGACTTTGTGGTGATGAACTTTCTAGAATACTCAGATGACCAAAATTCTTCATATGTGGAACTTGCCAACAAAGGTTGGCACCTTTTGTGTAAAGAAGGACCTTTTAAACCCTAACCCTAACGTTGAGCCTTTTAAGGCTAAATACAAATTATTCCAAGAAAAAATCAGGAACGGTGTGGAGTAGAGACTGTTAGTCTCCAAAAAAAGAAAAATCTTTGCAAGGACTAATCAAAAAGCAATGAATACGAGACAGGAGTTATAGTGGCCACTGCCTGCTCCCCCAAAGACCAAAAGCTATGAGGAAAGAAGAAAGAAAGTGACTTACCTTAAAGAGGCAACAACCTTATATATAACAATGGCAGTTCAACACCAAGGTAATTGAATAGAAAGCAATTATATCTTCATGAATAGGTTAGCCCTTAAGAACAAAAGATCCCTTTTGGTGAGTGTTTTAATATTAGGATACTGATATGAGTGTATCCCAGCACTAGGTGTATAGATTTGGAGGCCAAATAATGAACATATGAACAGATCAATGCAAATGGTGATAAATACTTATGTCTATGTAGTGCAGCTTAGTTAAATGTGTTCAATAGCCAAAGATGATGTGTGCAGTTTAAGGGTCATCTTGCAAAATTACTGTAACAAATTAATAAATTATGGTCTCTTTTATATGCTATCTAAACTGAACTTTGTTGAAAAATAGCACAAAATTGATGAAGATGTAGCTATGATTGATCATTAAACAGAAATCATACAAAGAATTCTGAAAGATATGGTGTAACGAGAATCAGTGAAAAGAAATTTTGAAACTTCTCTGTAAGATGTAGGGAGAAAGTACTACAGGGGAGAATTATGCCTTTTCCCGTGATTCATAATAAATGTTAATGTACCAACTATGGAGGCTGTTTAACTTATTTGTTTTTGAAAAATGACAAGTGACAAATGCACAAATTGAAAGGATTTTTTTCTTAAGGAAACCAAGTTCTAGAACCACTGATAATGTCAGTATTTAAAGATAGCTCACAAATATCTAAGTAACCCTGGGTAAACATTTTATATTTGAGGAGTTGGTAATCAGTTATTGTGGAAATAATAATTTTCTTAGAAGGTTTAAGTGGTTAAATTTTAATGTACACTAGGGTTTCCCCATTTGGCAACAGAGGGGAAGAGTGAAAATTCAAAAAGTCGTTAAATGCCAGGGAATTATACTTTATTTAATCAATATTTCTGAAGATATTTGGGAGCATTAAATTCTATATATCTTTGTGTTCCTAGTGGCTGATTTATCTTAAATACTTTGTAGGATAAGGCAGGAAAGAGTACAAAGGAAGGAAGGGAGGGAAGGAAGAAGAAAATGCAAAGCCAAATGCAAAGCCCCACCAGAAAAGTCCAATTTAGTTCAGAATAATAGTTCATAACATTCTGAACTAAATTGGCCAGAGTGACTATGAGGGAATTAGATAAATTTCTTGGCAATTTGACTGTGTCTTTTTGAAAACAATCCAGCAGTACGTGAACTATGTTATTAGACTAAATGAGTCATTTTCTGTAAATAATCATTTAGTTTCTCTTATCCTCTATTATCATCGCTGACTCATGAGCATAGGTGCTTCCCCAAATGATGTGCTGCAGGATCTGTCACTCAGCACTATTTCACGCCCATGCCTGGTTTCTCTGCCACAGCCTAGAGGAAGAACCTGTGAGACAGTTGGTGTTGACTCCAACTGTATAAGGCCCCTGCAAGACCTCTGGGAACTCCTGTGAAAGCTCTTTAGTGGGGAGTCTGACATACCAGAGCAGTGTTGTATCTCTCACTGGAATTCCTACTGTTCAAGCCATTACTATAATGTTTTTAACATGATTTTATTTATGAGAGGAAGAGTTACAGACAGAGAGGGAAAGACAGAGAGAAAGGTTTTTCATGCGCTGGTTCACTCCCCAAATGGCCCCAAGGCTGGAGATGGACCAGGCTAAAGCCAGGAACCACGAGCTTCTTCTAGGTCTCCTTCGTGGGTGCAGGGGCCCAAGCACTGGGGTCATCTTCTGTTGCTTTCCCAGGCCGTAGCGGTTAGCTAGATCAGAAGAGAAAGAGCGGGAACACCACCGTCGCAAAAGGCAGAGGCTTAGCCTGCTAAGTCACATCACTGGCCCCAATTTTCTAATTTTCATTTCCCCAGGGTTTTCTCTGATTTCTTTCAGTGGTGATTATGAATATCCAAAGGACAGTGGTTTTCCTTGGCACCTTTTGGAATGTACGTATTTTAAAAACAAAACAAAGCAAAACCTTTTTAGATATTAAATTAGAGCTTTTTGTGTGAACTTGACTTTAGTTCACTGATAGGCCTTGAGGAGAACCTCTACACAACTTACAAGAAATGGTTTTAGCAGTAAATTCATATGTTATCCAAGATATATGTTAGACTCCAGAATGTATTATTATGATAAAATGGTTTTCTAACAGTGTGTGAAGTGTCTATAGGCCAGTCTTGAGTAAGCCTGTGATGATTTGAAAGTGATTTATGAAGTGAGCTAATCACTGTAATAATAAATCTGATATACTTGTGTTCAGAAAAACATGTTTTCAGTCTCACAACTCCTACCAAAATACTCAGTTTATGTATGAATTGATTCAAGAACTCTTTCATGAATGAACAAAAAAATCAGATAAAGAATTGTATGATCCAATTAAATAAACTGCTTCAAGTCTTTTAGTTCTAACTTTTGGGAATTCTGTTTAGTTGGCAGTAGTCCTTAATATATGTTTTTTACATTTTTTTTTTTATTTAAAAGGGAGAGATAAAAGAGAGAGTTTGAGAGATATAAACTGAAAGAAAGATAGATATTTCCTTCACTGGTTCATTCCCCAAATGCTCACAACAGCTAAGGCTAAAGCCAGGAGTTTGAAACTCAATCTGGGTCTCCCACATGGGTAGCGGGGACCCAGTCACTCGAACCATTACCTGCTGCTTCCCATAGTGTGCGTTAACTAGAAGCTGGATCAGAGGCACTGCCAGAACTCAAACCCAAGGACTCCGATACGGGATGTGCGTATTCCAAGCAGCCTGTTGATTGCAGAGCCAAATGCTCACCGCTTTTCACCTTTTTAACTGAGATTGCATTGTGACTGTTTTCATTTTCACTTACTCCTTTTTATTTAGAAGCTGAGTTAAAACTATACCTATTTCTTCCCTAAATTGATAACTCATGAGTTCCAATTCTGTTTCTCCTCACTCTGAACTCAATGCATTTATTTGCCTCCAATCACATTCAGCTTGTTTTCCAATATGTTTTCTGTGTCTGTGTAATATATAGTAAACCTAGATCATAAGCTGCATGACTTATGTGTATCTGTACTTAACAGTCACTTAATCAATAGTGCTTGATTAACGCTAAAACAAAATTGAGATTTATTAATGTTAACCTTAGAGATTACCTGGCCCATTTTCCAGATGACCAAACTGAGGCCTAGATAGTTTAATGATTTTACCCAGTTCAAATTTCTAGTTATGGACACAGCACATATTTCTATCCAGGTCAATGACCTATGCAGAAGAAATAGTTGATGATGACTGTGTATACATTTTTAGTTCATTCTGAATATCAGTGTGTCATTAAGCAA